GTTCTTACCAGGGCAAACAGGAAGGAACAATAGAACACTCTGAGTCCAGTGGTACGTTTAAGACCAACAAAGTTTTATTCAAGGTATAACCTTTAGTGTGCAAGCACACTTCTTCAGATACCAGGAGGGAACAATGTACACGATCCTGCTACAAGTCCTCTTGGTGACCACATGGCAAACATAAGGTGTAGTATGGGCCTGATTTCCCTACTGAGGGTGCTAGAATTGAACCTGAGGCCTTCTGCATGCAAAGCAGATGCTCTACCATTGAGCTCTGCCCCTTTCCTTACCAAGAACACATGGAGCTGCCATCTACTGACTGCCTTTAGTCAGTTTGCCTATTCTGAGTGGCAGTGGCTGTCCAGGGTCTTTTCCATCGCCTGCTTTCTGATCCCTTTAAGTGGAGATGCTGGGAGTTTGGTGTAGTGGTTAAGTGTGCGGACTCTGGGAGAACCAGGTTTGATTCCCCACTACTCCACTTGCAGCTGCTGGATGACCTTGGGCAAGCCATAGTTCTGACAAGAGCTGTCCTTGAAAGAGCACGCCGAGTAGTCACACGGCTACCTTATCACAATAAACTGACAAACATTTTATCTTTCTAGATCTTATTGTCAATTACTGAAAAGTGCAATGTGTGTCTATAAGCCGCTTCGGTGGGAGGGCGGGATAAAAATCAAATAAATAAATAAACAAATAAATATAATTAGATGAAAAACTATTAATTTTATCAGACACATTAAGTTTAATGTTACTATTTATCTCAATACCTTGATTTATCATTGGACTTGGACAGATATGCATATCAATCTCTTCCTGTTGATTGTAAATTCTATATACATCAATAAAAATTTAAAAATGAAAAAAGAGCACTCTGAGTGAAGGGTGGGGTATAAATCCAATCTCCTCCTCCTCTCCTCCTCTGCATGCAAAACAGACTCTCTACCACTGAGCACACATACAGAATTCCATGCTTTTTCAAGCTGGCATAGGTTAGACTTATTTCATCTTTCTAGACAATTCACAACTTGAGGCCAAATTAGGAGAACCAATACCTTGGTACTGATACTTTCAAATTCGAAAGATTATAAATTTATTTACTTATTTATTTGATAAATGTGAAGTTTCCTCACAACAAATTGATTAGTCCCTCTACAGCCTTTGAACTCTTATAGAAAAATAGTAAACCTATCAAATCAGATCTTATATCTAAAATATATAAAATACTTCTTGATAATAATAATGATAAACCGGAACATAGTTTACAGTTATGGCAATCTGATTGTCAAAACGGGATTAAGGAGGAGGATTGGAAACATCTTTGGAGCACTCCTAATTATACCTCAAAATTTTTTAATGTTTGATTTCAGGCCTTGATGGCTACCCACTGGTATTGTACCCCCAAACAACTTTACAATGTGAAAGCAGCTGACAACCCTAATTGCTGGAAGGACTGTGGTCTAGTTGGTGATTTCATACATGTGTGGTGGTCCTGTCCAAAAATTAAATTTTGGGTTCTTATCATTAAAGAAATAAAGGAGGCAACTGAAGAACTGATTCCCTTTTACCCAGAAATATTATTGTTAGGATGGTGGCTGGACACCCCGTATAACACAACAACTGTAGAAAGGATTGATCTTCTGCTGGCCATAGCGAGATTAGAGATTGCAGCACATTGGAAAGACAAGGTGCTACCCTCAATACATGCTTGGAGAATTCGACGATGGGATTACTTCCTATTGGGCACAATCTCTTCATATGGTCCCAATGCTCTGACAGATCTCGCTCAAGAAAAATTCAAAATTTTCTGGTTCCCAATTGTGGAATATTTATGAAATCATGTAATTCTCCCCCAAAAATGATTTTATCATGATCTTATATATTTCTAATCTAAGAGTTCTTACTAAGGTTCAGTCTGCATGCAGGCAATGGTTCTTCTTTCTTAGGTCTTCCAAGGGAATTTGATCTTCCCTTCAAATGTAGATGTTATGTCGAGGCTTCCGGTCTGGCTCCCGCGAATGGCGGACGCATCCTCGGGTTGCTCCCGAGGGCGCCTCGCCCGCCCGCGGTGGAGGGAACCCGCGCGAGCGGAGACCCGAACGAGCCCCTCAGGAAGAGAGGAGCTCAGATCCGGGGCGCTTTAGGGCGCACTAGGGGGGAGTCGCTCTTTCGGCCGAGAGGTTGGAGAACGAGGCTCCCGCCATGCCCTGAGCGACCCTGAACGGGGTTTAGCGGAGCCACCAGACGTCACCGAGTGATAAAGCGACCATCCGCAAAAATGGAAAAAGAAAAGATCGGCTTAACTGTGAGTTGTCAAAATGCAGAGAAAAAGAACTAAAAACGTTTCCCCCCCCCCTCCTAGCGAAAAAGGTGAAGAGGTTAACCCTCCATTTGTATAAGCGAAAAAGAAAAGGAGGGGGGGAATGGATTGAGCGGACAGTGATGTTTTCCTTTGATGTATTTGAAACAAAGCGAGAAAAAGTTTTGTCTCTCTGGAGCACATTTTAAGAACTTTCTAAAAGTAAACAAAAAAGGAAAGATGTCGGAGCTGGGCAAAAGCGAGCGGAGAAGAAGGGAGGGACTTCCGTCTGGGCGTTTGCTTGTGTGCGAGACCGGCTGTTGAATGTTTGGACTGTTTATGGCTGTGAATCCGACGGGAGTTTTGTAAAACGGAAAAGTTTGAATTGTGACAGCGAGAAGTGCCTGGCAAGTGCTTATATAAGTCAACAATTGCGAGGAGGACCCATAGAGAGTTTGGGAGCGGATATAAAAGCGAAAATGAAATTAATACCATTCTCAAAACTGGGGACCTCCGATAATGGCATGAAAAGAAGAGGATTTATAGTGCATAAACTGAGAGTATTAACAACAACCCGAAGGAGGATCTAACAAGCCGGAAGGAGAAGACAACAGAGGAAGCTCCTCCACGTCAGCGATAGTAAAAGTACCCAGCACGCAAAGAAGCGGTTCTGAATGTGCACAGAAGAGATTTTTTTTATTAACAGAAATTCAAAGGAACATTACTAACATATTAACAGAGAACTACATGTGACAGGACTAAGAAAAGAAGTTTGACAACACACAGAAGAAGCCCAAGAAGATTAATTGGACATTACTAACAGTTTAATTTACCAGTTTATATATCACTCAGCTTTCTCTTTCTCCCACTGTCTACCCTTCCCATTTTTTCTTTTAAGCGAAATACCTCCCCTTTTTAGGGGAGCCAATAAAATCTTTATTAAAAAAAATGTAGATGTTATGTCAGCTTTTGCATGGTCTTCTAGCGGATGCCCTTAGTGGACGATGTTTGCTTCAACTGTATGTTTGATTATGATTGTTATTGCTCTCCCATGTTGCAATTACATATATCTGTACTGGGTAATCTAACACTTTAACCACCACACCATGCTGGCTTTCCAAACACATGGCTCTTTGGATATCCTGAGCTAGATCATAGAATGTTTGGGACATGCACCTTAATTTGATTGCAGAAGGGTTGCAAAGCAGTACATGTGGGACCCACTCCAATAATAGGTTAGAATGAAACCTGTCCAGCTGGGAGGAGAAAGGTTAAAAGCTGTAGACACCCATCAGAAGTGCACAGACCAAGGTCCAGGGAACAAAGGGAAGGGAAGGGAAGTCTGTTGTAACCAGCCTCTGTTTTCAAAGTTCCTGTGGGCTCAGGTTCATTCTAGGGGACGGAACACCCTCTCCCTCTCTCTCTGTGCCTCAGGTCACAGGTAGAAAAATAAAGGGCAGAGCTTGAATGGTAGGATGCTACCCTGTACATCAGGAAGGGAGGAGACACAAGGGCTTCAGACTTCACACACACGGATTTCCCTCCGCCTCTCTGGCAAAGAAAGAGGGAATGAAGGGGAGGATGGCAACTCACGTACATGCTTGGCAGCGTGGGATTGTATTCAGAAATCTGACAGTCTGGAAACTAACATCTGGTTGGAAAAATGTCACAGCAAAGGGTGTGCAGAAATGTAAGGGGTTTTTTTGTGTGTGTGAGAGGAATGTTTGGCTACGAATGGTCAGGGTCAGACACACCAGGGCACGAGCACATACCAAAGGTCCAGCAGGAGTGTACAGTTGGAAGTGCCCACTCCTGGCCACTGCATTAGGGACAGAGCGTGAAGAAAAGCCTGGTTGGTTGTAGGAAGTCCATACTCTCAAGACTCATAAGAGCAGGGCTTTTTTGTAGAAAAAGCCCAGCAGGAACTCATTAGCATAATAGGCCACACCAAAGAGCAGAAACTCATTAGCATATTAGGCCACACCCACACATTACCAGAAGTGTGGTCATCCAACCACACCCACCTTTTGCTTCTTATTCTGTTTACCTTGTTTGTTGTCAAAATCCAGGGCTTTTTTTGTAGCAGGAACTTCTTTGCATGTTAGGCCACACACCCCTAATGTAGCCAATCCTAATGAGTTTCTGCTGTTGGGTGTGGCCTATTATGCTAATGAGTTCCTGCTGGGCGTGGCCAAGTATACTCTTAAGATGCAAGCCAATCGTGAGGCCAGCATACAGAGGGAGCCAAGCTGTTGCAGGGGCAGAGACAGACGGCCAATACGAGGTGGCAGTAGCTTTGACAGCCATGCATGGGAAGCTCTCCAGACCACCGGGCGGGCAAGGGGGTGGCTCGAGTTGTGGCTGGAACATGAACGGGAACTGTTCTAGACTGAGCTGGAAGTGCTGCGGCTGCACTGCGGGTCCAGCAATCCTGGTGGCCATTTCAGATGAGTAGGTTGGACTGGCAAGGGATCTCTGTCACACACGTGCGACATCTTTGCTCTCAAGGATGTGTATACAAAATAAAGGAGTAGTCTTATGTCACTGCAGAACATCCATCACAAAAAAGAAGTGTTCTAGCTCACCACCATACCTTTTGCCCAGCTATGTGTGACAGTCCTTCCTTCTCAAATTCAGCCCAGCGACCCAACTGTCCCCCACCTCCCCCTGACCAAAATAAAGGACATGCAACAAGATTAGCAGCTAAGAACATGTTGAAACCCACAAATCTCCAATTCCTGCAGCGTTCATAAAAACCAAACATAGACCTCATCTCACACAAGTCATACAAACATCCGAATGATGCAAGTCACCCCAGCAGCATTTATAGAGTTCTTCCTGAGTTAATAACGGAGGGCGAGGTGGCTAGCTTATTCTGGGAAGGCAATACAGGCAGAGGGAGGCCAGGTGGGGCCACAGTAGGAGGCCTGTGCAACTTGCCGTCTGTCACATCACACTGCGCACCCCAGCCATGCAGTGAGGAATTTGCAATGTGTGAACTAGCCCCAAGATCCATGCCAACCCTATGCACTCATGAGGATCTATATTTGGATTGGGCCTCCCACATGTGTTCATGTGAGGCTGCCATGGTGGGAACGTCTCCTCCCACCGTTTCCCTGATCACTTTGTGCTCCAGAAGGGGAAAGAGACAGGCACCTGTGTTGTATCTCATTTTTCCTAAGTCTAAAGCAGCTGTCAGAGAGTAGGCATTCTTTTTAGTGAGGAAACAGTTCAGAGGGAAGAGGAATCTCCTACTAGCACTGTGGCCCTAGTCCAAACCCAGATCCTCGGTGCCAGGAGTAGTTTGGGTCTAGGTCAGAACTGAAAGCTTCAAGACCCATTTGATTTTACAAATTAAATATGCAAATCTTTTCTACTATTACCATTTGGCAACCACACATTTGGTCCATTCTAACCATTTGAAAGACTGCCTCTGGGAGTCTGAATTATTGTTCAGGTACAAAAACTAACCAACCAATACAGGCAATGGAAACATCTGGGAAGAATTAAGCAGAAAGACGTTGATGCCTATGAAACCATCTGGGAAGTAACTAATTGTGCGCTGAGAAGGGATCTGAAGACTGGCCTAGGCAAAGACAGAGATGCATCTACATAGCACTGAGATTTTTTTGGTTCTTCAATCATGGATAATCTTCACTCTCATTTCCATGGTGATCCGTAGACTGGCCAGGTCCTTCATCCTCTAAGTACCATCACAGGTGAGACACTCAGCTGGTTTGATTGTGTTTGCCTTTGATAGGAAGCTGCAGGCGTTTCAACACTAAAAGCACTGGTGTTATCTTCCCAGAACATAGACTGCAGAAGGGGCAAATGTCAAAGTGGTTTCCCTCAACTGCCCTTTCATTGCAACAGGAACTTGAACAGGAGAGAGTCCCCAATGGATTGTGCTTTGAACTACAACCCTTATTATTGCTCCTCCTCAAAAGCCACAGAGATGCAGACAGATCTGCCCAGTTATCTACAACACTTCTCATCTTCCTGTCTGTAGCACCAGAGGACTGAATAGCATGTATATGCGAGCTACAGGATGGCCAAAGCATCACAGCGACAGATCCACTATGAAGTTGGTAAGGTGTTCAGTTCAGACAGCTGTTGTATATAAGAGAATGCTTTCTTCCCCCCTAATCCAGGGTACACCAGATGCTCAGAGACATTTTTTTTTGTCTTTTATGTCTACATGCTGGACTTCTGCAGAGGTCCATCTGGAATGACGGCATTCCCAACACCTTCCAGAAGACCATCCCACTGGTCAAAGTCTTCTTTCAGCTCTAAGAGAGGAGAAAGAAGATTCACACAGAAAGGTTACTGAACAAGATGCCACTGTTGGCAAGATTCAGTTACAATCACTAAAATAAAGAATGCCTGCAGGATTCATTAGTATATATTTGTGGTAGTTTTAAATTGACCCCCCCCCCCAAGTTTTCATAATGGACAATGTTCTTTGTTGCTTTTTTTTAAAGTGTGAATTTCATCTATCCGCAAGCCCCCTCATACATCAACCAGTTCCTGGGTGAGAGACTATGGGATATAAATACTTACAATCAGGGGTCGTTTCGTAGAAAAAGAGCAAGGGGAACTCATTAGCATAACTCATTAGCATATGCCACACGCCCTGACATCACCGGAAGTGTGTCATAAGGCTACACCCCCTGACATCACCGGAAGTGTGTCATAAGGCCACACCCACCACTCAGTTTTAGTCTTAAAGGTTAGTCTTAAAGGTGCTATTTGAACTCTTGGACTATTTTGCAGCAACAGACTAACACAGCTACCTCAGGGAAGCTCCTGGATGGGGCTGGGAGTCCTTGCAGAGGCCATGTGGAGTGGCCTCGGCCAGACAGAGGGGGAGGACGCCAACTTACCCTCCTGCTTCTTCCTCTTTCTGCAACAGAATGAGGCTGGAAGCAGGGGGCGGCCGGAAGAAGGGGGCAGGGCTTCGCTATGTGCCCACTCCGCCCTCGGTGCCCTGATCCGAGCCCTGGCGAGGAAGCCCCGCGAAGGCCCCCCCACCCCCAATCGTCCCTGCCACTGCTGCCGGCCTTGCAGCTCCACTGCTGAGCCCTATGAGGGGCCCGGCGGTGGACCTGCAAGGCCGGCGGGAGTGCGAGGAAGCCTCGGGAAGGCCCCCCACCCCCAACGGTCCCGGCCGCCGCTGGCCTTGCAGCTCCGCTGCCGAGCCCCATCAGGGGCCTGGCGGTGGACCTGCAAGGCCGGCGGGAGCTGAGCACTTACAGGGTGCGTCAAATCGCCATTTTACCTGACCGGAAGCAGGGGCGGGGCTTCGTCGTGTGCCCTGCCCCCCGCCCCTCACCCAGGGGAACGGCGATCCCCGGCGATCCCCCCGAATCGACCTCTGCTTACAATGATTAGGTTAGTCTACCTATTAATGCCTGCCTCCCTCTAAAAATGCAACGCAGCATGTAAATATCTGGCTTAACAAAGCAAGGCCTCTGGTTTAATTCGCGCATTCATCACTCCCAGACTGTGGTTGCGTTTGTAATACAATATTCTGCTTTCAGGATGGAGATACCCTAAGGAAGTGGGTGTTTATTTTCAGCACTCTGTACCTGAACAAGTCCTGCATCTCTTTCCAAAGTCATGGGAAAGATGCTGCACTCCCTGGAATGCACTCTCTCCCTCAAGCACTATAATACTGTGATAAAAGTCGGTATGTACATTTATGGTACAATTTGGACATTTGGGCTAGAGAGGATGATGAGGCACAAGAATGGAGTGCCTGGCATTGTAGGAAATAATGCTTCTGCCAGACACTTCCAGCGCCCTTAAAAACCACAAAGGACAGCTTACGTCTCCTCTCCTTTTCCTATTTATCTACCTAGAGATTTATATCCCACTTTTCTCCCCAATGAGGACTCAAAGCAGCTATCATCATTGTTCTCTCCTCCATTTTATCCTCATAACAACCCTGTGCGGTAGCTTAGGCTGACTGGCCCCAGATCACCCAGTAAGTTTAAATGGCAGAGCAAGGATTAGAATCTGGTCTTCCTGATCCTAGTCTTGCACGCTAACCACCATGCCACATCGCCTCTCAGCATCTGTCTCCAGTGTATATGCGCTCACTCCCCCCCGGACCTTTAACTTACGGAGATGTTTCTGTAGGAAGGCCAGTGCAGCCTGGTTAGTGATGTCCAGCCCTTCATAAGGATTGATGGTGCCTCTAGTTTGGAAGACTCTGTTCAATAGATTCCCCGCGAGGAAGGTGAAGTCGGTTTGGCTCTGATGGACAGTGCCCCTGGGTGGGAAACACAAGTCCTTAGATTAGAAGGGCAAAAGGCAGTGGGTAGGACTGGATCCAGAAAGATTACAAGTTCACCTCCTAACCGTAACAGTGGAAACGGTATGCATTAAGCCACAAACATCAGTCCAACTTCTCCTTGAAAATCCCCATGCAAGAGAAAAACATCACATGCTTATTGCTACAGATCCATAACCAGTGTGGAGATGGTGGCTGCAACCCATGAACATTGATTCACCTGACCTAAGCATTTTTTTAAGTCCAGGATCTTTAAGTTGTGATATTTCTAGTAAAATGCAACAGAACTTCTTCTTTTTAAGAGTAGAAGCATTCCTTATTTTTTTTTTAAAAAAAACAATTGATCCTCCCAAGTATTCAATCTTCTAGAAGTCGCTCACCTGATTTACCCAGGAAGGCCCCCCCCAAGATTCCTCCTAAAGTTTTTGTTCAAGGTCACAATCAGCCTTATCATGGTCCAGAAAAATCACTCTTTAGCAACAAGACATTTACTTAAGAGAAGCGTTTGCTTTAAGTGGGTAAACGCTTTTGGACTTTAAAAAAAGAAAAACACTTTTTCCATTCATGTGATACCAGTCTCATAATTTGTACAGATCATGTCCTGAGACCCTTGGGCTTTATTGAGAGAGTTGTAGAAGTTTACTGGTAACTAATTTTTCTCATTTTGAAGCCCTACTGAAAACAGAAAAGCTCCACCAAGCCAAGGTGTCTAGCTACAACTTACCTTGCATTAGTTATTTTTAAAACAAATGTGAACTGCATATTTGACTCTGAACCATTTAAGTCTGAATGCACATTAAATAATACAAGTGGGGGGACCTGCAAAGACTTGCAGGGAGGCGTCTCATTTTCTCCTCTCCCACTACTTAAATTTTCCTTCCCTAAACCCCCAATAGCCTTTCTCCATTTACTGCTTCCTTCCCTTCCCACCTACCAGCCAACCTATCTTTCTGTCTTTTTTCAGCTTTCCCCCCTTCTCTTCTCTGGGCACTCTTTCACTGGGTCTGGCTGAGCTTCACAGTGCCAGCTGCTGGTGTGGGCCAGGGCCAGTTGTATGGTAGGGAACACATAAGGACTTCTGGGGGACAACTTGCTTTCTTCTATATTCCTGTTGCCACATTATTTCCTCTTTCTTTACAGACCCCCATATCCCCACCTTTCTTGCCTTCTCTTTCCACCCGCCAAACAACTTACATTTTATCTACCCCCCATCTTCACCTATATTTATTACTAGGAATAAGGCCCATTGTGTATTCCTGTTGCCACATTATTTCCTCTTTCTTTACAGACCCCCATATCCCCACCTTTCTTGCCTTCTCTTTCCACCCGCCAAACAACTTACATTTTATCTACCCCCCATCTTCACCTATATTTATTACTAGGAATAAGGCCCATTGTGGAAATAAATACAACAAGGTCTAGAAAGAGGCTCTGGGAGAGTGCCAAGGCCTTGGGCACTCAGCATCAATTTGCTGTGGCGACCTTCTCAAACCCCACCCTCTCCCGGCTCCACCCCTGAAATCCCCAGGAATTTCCCAACCTGGAGTTGGCAACCCCATCCCCTTCCCAGCTAACCATCAACCTACCGTTATCTGCCCCTCTGACGGCAAGTGACTTCTGCCCTCCCTCCTGGAGATCAGTTGTAATTCTGAGTGATCTCCGCCCCTCACCTGGAGATTGGCAACAGTGGTTCCCCAGGAGGGAATGGCTGGTTGGGAGGGTGGAGTCTATGGCATCGTACCTGTCTGAGGTCCCACCCCTCCTCAAACCTCACCCTCTCCAGGTTCCATCCCTCAAATCTCCAGGAATTTTCCGCAACCTTACCTCCTTCCCAGCCAATTATCAACCTACCTTTATTTCCCTCTCCCTCTTCAGCTTTCCATCTCCCCCCCCCTGCAGCCTCTACCATGCTCTAAAGCCCTGACTGCCATGTCACATTGGCTGTCATGGGAAGGGCATCTTAGCAGGGTATAAGGACACAGAGTCCAGCATTTTCTCCAGGGGGACTGATCTCTGCCATCTGCAGAGCAGTTGTAATTCTGAGTGATCTCCAGCCCACACCTGGAGATTGGCAACAATGGTTTCCAGGAGGAAAAGTAGTCTTTCTCTGCAGTGGGGACCAAAACAGCTTACATCATTCTCCTCTCCCCCTTTTGACTTGCACAACAACTCTGTGAGGTAGGTTAAGCTGAAAGTCTGTGACTGTTCCAAAATCACCCACTCAGCTTCTACAGCAAGAACCTGGATCTAGCAGACCCTGCTCTAAAGCACTGACTGTTACGCCTAGGGCAACCAACCTCCAGGTGGAGCCTGAAGATCATCAGGTATTACAACTGAACTCCAGACAACAGATCCCCCTGTCCGGCAAAAATAACTGCTTTGGAAGGTGGACTGTATGGCATTCTGTTCAGCTGAGGCCTCTCCCCTCCCCAAACCCTGGCTTCCATGGACTCTTCCAGAAAATCTACAGGAATCTCCCTACCTGGAGCGGGCAACCCTAGACTCAGGACTGGCCCCAATGAGTTCCTCACAAAGGCCTGCAGAAGGTTTCCTTCCTTTGTCTGAGCCAAGCTTGGTTGACTACTTGTGGTGAAACTTGCTCCAGTTTATAACTTAGCTGTTTGCCTCCCACCCTCATCCCATGCACATATCTCACTCCTTAAATTCGCTGCCACGACTCACTGAATTGTCACTGCCTTTTTAGAGGGACAGCGAGACTCCTCTGGCCGAATCTCCCTATTTGGAGATGGAATCCCCAATCTTTGGGGGATCCCTGGAAAGTTGGCAACCCAAGGGTCTGGCCTTTCATTGCTTCCTTGGGCTACCCCCTCCCTTTGTTATTGTGCAGAGCGGGGGAGACTATGTGGTCAGAGCGCAACACAGATTAGTAGCCCAAATAAAATAATTTATTTAACTATTTACATAATTATGGAGCACACACACACTAAATGAATCAGGCAGAACTGTAGGAGTAAGCACACACTATGAACCAACAGGCCATAAATCAACAGGGGTTAAATGCAATCATCTTTTCTGCCCTGCCCCTTGGGACAGTCCCTCTTTTCCTGCACTTTTTGGCCTTGGGGCAGCTGGGAACTGTAGGCCCACAGATGAGGAAGCCCCATTCAACCCAGTGAGTGATGACAGCCTCATCAGCACAGGCAGCAGGAGCGTTCTCCTGTAGGACGAAAACTGCCTCCTCCCTGGATGGGCTGGAGTCTATATTGATGCTGCCCTGCCCCTTGGGACAGTCCCTCTTTTCCCACACTTTTTGGCCTTGGGGCAGCTGGGAACTGTAGGCCAGCAGATGAGGAAACCCCATTCAACCCAGTGAGTGATACCCCTGCAGGCCCCTCTCTGGAAATACAGCTCAATTAAACCTTATGGGGGAACATTTTAAACAAACAACCACATGGCAGCCATCTTACAAACACAGGTAACTGCCATTTTGTTACACCTACCAACAACCACTGAGGGAAAAGTTACTCCCACACAGGAGGCAAGCAGGAGAAGTGTCTTCATCAAGAAAGAAAGCCGTTTGCCAGTTATTCTGACAGGGCACAGTGGCTGAAGGAGGAGTGGGCAGGGAAGAGGAGCAGACCCAGCACCCGGCCAATGGCACACGAGTACTCTTGAGTGGCGGCTGATGGGCCAATGGCTGAGGGAGCGCACTGCACAGCCAATGGGAGAGCTGCAAAGTGCCACCCCAAAACACAATTATTATATAGAGAGATTTATTTTATAGCCCACCCTTCTCCAAAATGGGGAGCCAAAATGGCTTACATTGTTCTCCTCTCCTCCATTTTACCTTCACAACAACCCTGAGAAGTAGATTAGGCTGAGAGAGTGTGACTGGCTCAAAGTCACCCAGTGAGCTTCCACAACATAACTGGGATTCAAATCTGGGTCCCCCAGATCCTAAACTGAAACTCTAACCACTACACCATATTGGCTTTTGTTGACTAGCTGTTGTTGAACAGCTGGCCCTGGGTGAGTCATACAGGTCAGTTAGTAACAAGTTTGCTGATGTGTACTGCTGGGCCTGGCTCTGAAGAGTCCTCCTCCAAAGACCAAAACACCCCTGGAAAAGGCCCTACCACTCACACTGCCTTTTACTGATAGAAACCAGGGCTTAAAGACTAGCAATACTGTGTGGTTGCCTAGCAATGGCCATTGAGGGCATTCTTTTCTTAAAGCTACAGTCACTAATTCTATTATTGGGGGGAGTTAACCCCCAATGTATTTCATCTTAGATTTCAGATTTTTCTGCAGACCTGCAGCATTTTTCAGATTTGTAGAAAGATCTGTCTGGTCTTTTCATGCATTCAGTCCCTGGATTTAGTATCCATAGATGTGGCCATGTTGAGAATTTTTGGATAACTGAGAAATGGCATGTGTTTCTACCTTTTTTAACACAATCATTTCCTTCATACCTTTCCACTCTTTGGTTCAACATCTGACATCTTATTTTCAGTCCTGCTACCGGTTTCACTCTCCTTCCCCTTCCTCATGAGCCACCTCATCTGTCAATCACAAGGCTGTGTGCAAGGGAGGTGGCTATTACTTCTCCATACAGTGCCTACCTCTTGATACATACTGGGGTGCATCTGTCTACGGAACTTGCAGAGAAGCAAATTTCACTTCCCCCCTCCCACTGCAGCCTACTCAGTCCCATCAGTTATGTTCCTGGGGATCAGGGGAACATAAAGAGGGACAAAATAGGGGTCTGCAGCGGGAGGGGGAATGATCAGAAATTGCTGCCCTCTCTTCCAAAGAAATGTCATAAAGTCTTTGGAATGCATGGCTGGACGCATGCCACCAAGGATAAAATGAGAGAGTTCCAAGTGCATGCTTTAAGCAGGTCCAGGCTTACAAGATAGTGATGATTTTGGTCTCGTTGTTCATGGAGCAGATCTTTTTCATCTTGGCCACGCTATCCACAGTCTGGAAGGTCTCGGTGTTGATGAAAAGCACTGGTTTGGTCACTTTCGGGTAAAGAGAGTTTTCCAAAGGGAACATCCAGGCATCAAGGGCAACAGCACACCTGCAGGGGACAGAAACGCACAGTGAGCACTAAGCAGATATACAAGGCCATGGATTCCCACCTGGCCATGTGTTACTAGAACGAAGTCCTAGCTGCCACTCTGGAGGCTTTAGGGCAACCTCTGCTCTTAACAACTTGAGAGTTACATCTGGAGTATACTCACCTGAATTGTGCCTCTTTCACGAGGGTGAGGATTGCTGTTGCTCCTCCAAATGAGTGACCCATGATGGCCGCTCTGGACAAATCCACATTGTCCTGGAAGACAAAGGGAGTGAAGGTTTAAAGAAGCCAAATACCTAGGAGTTTCTTCTTCACCCCACCACCACATTCAGGGGTTGCAAATTTTTTCTTTAATGAAAGCTACTTCTGAGCAGGGGTCTTTTGGGGCCGGAGCACACTGGAGCACCGCTCTAGCAGCCCAGGAGCCGGCGCAAATGGTGGTGGCAGCAAGCCCCGCTCCCAGCTCCCCACGCCGAAGCGCTGGGGCCAGGGGGAGGTGCGGAGAGTCCTGCAGCCGGTTTTCCAGAGCCCGCGCCGAAGTGCTAGGGCCGGGGGGAGGTGTGGAGAGCCCCGCAGCTGGGTCCCTTGGGCCCGCACCAAAGCGCTGGGGCCCGGGAGAGGCGTGGAGAGTCCCACAGCAGGGTCCCCAGGGCCGCGCAGAAGCGCTGCGGCTCGGGGGAGGCCTGGAGAGCCCTGCCGCTGGTGCCGGAGCGGTAAGTAAGGGATCCGTGGGGGTGGCGGGGGAGAGCCTCCCTCCCTCCCTCCATCTCTTTGCCATCTTTCCCTCCTTTCCTTTCCTTTTCTTTCCCTTCTCTTCCTTCTTCTCTCTCTCTTTTCATCCTTCTTTCCTTCTCTTTCTTTCCCTCTTTCCTTCTCTCTTTTTATCCCCTCTTTCCTTCCTTCTTTTCTTCCTTCTTCCCTTCTCTTTCTTCCCTCTTTCCTCCCTCTGTGGTCCAACTCTAGTGAGCAGGGGTTTAAACTTGCCCCCCCGCAGGCCAGCTGGGGAGGGGAAGGGAAGGCTTTTGAAGATCCCTCCCCCTGCTTCCCCTTCTGACATCCCTTCCGGTGATGTCAGGGGGAGTGGCATATGCTAACAGTCTAGTAGCTCATTAGCATACTGTATGCTAATGAGCTCCTGCAGCTCTTTTTCTATGAAAAGACCCCTGCTTCTGAGTAATGAAAAAAAAAATTCAAGCTACTCCTCCCCCCATCCCTTTCTGGCAAACTACCTAATTTTGTTCTGCTGTAGAAACAGAATATGGAATAGGAAGAAATTACGCTATCAGCTAAGCTCACAGAAGGCACAGGAAAATTGTATGAAATGAAAGCATTCAGAAGAAACCTAGAGCAGACCTTTTATCATTCTTTTCCTGGATTTCTAGGGGATGCACAAGCTATGGTGCAGCATCTGGTGAGCTTCTCGTACTCATGAGCTATTTGCTGAAGACCCCTAGTTTAGAGGGTCCCTAAGATCATGGGAGATCTTGTGTTTAAAGATCTCATGTTCAAGGACCTCGCCCAACATGCTCTCCTGGTTCAACTGCTGGCTTCTCCCTGAGCTGAGAGGAAGGAGTAGACCCTCCAAGGCCTACTCTGATTTCCCCCTGAGGAACACCACAGAGGGGGGCAAACATCTATTCAACATCTGAACAGGCTCCTGCAGGAAAAATTAATGAGACAGAAAGACCATAAGGTGGGACAAATAATATCTGCATCTGATACTGTGCTTTTTGATTGCTCAAAACAGTTCGCACGAACTTGGGACTCAAGGCAGATTACACAGTGTCAATCAATGCAATAAGTAGGACAAGATATCTTATAAGCAACGCAACAGGACTAGGATTACAGAACTCTGAAACAAAACAAAAAGGAAAAGAAAATTCCCAGACACTCCTACCCATCCCGCTACCTAGCAATTTAGGGCTGGTTCCTGCAACAAGGGGCAAGTTCTTTGTAGGGTTTGTAGGTAGCCCTTTTTTTTTTTTGGCAGGCGTAACCACTGACAGTCTCATAGGGAGCCAAGCCCTGCATCCCTGAAGGGGTTTTATACATGATACATTATCCCTTTATTGGAGGGATAATGAAAAAGTCGCGTGCTAAATATAGGAAGGAAGGAAGAAAAGTTGACTAGTAGAAGAAATAGGTTTTTAAAAAAAATTGTAACAGGGTGTTGAAAAAAGCAGAGGGAGGGGGAAAGCAAAAGAAAGAATGTGCGCTTTGTTCTGGCAGCTGCAGCCCTGGATACCTCCTGCTTGTACGTTTTGGGAAGTGGAGCAGGATTAGGTTCCCCCTAGTGGCCAACATGTAATATCAAAGGGAGATCTTGACAGGAAGACAGACAGACAGCTGCTAGGAGAGGGCTGGAGATGGCAAGGAGAAACAAAACAGGGGAGGTGGAACGGGTGGGCGTGAGTGCATCTAGGAGGTGGACTGAGGCTGCTCAAGAGCTGCAATCAGCTGCAGACCCTCCAATATCTCCCAGGTGGAAACCACTACCCTGATATCCTTACAGCACAACCCCCTTTTCTTCTAATGTCAATGCCTGGTGCCCTAATCTCAGTTTGCTATCTTTTTAAAATTATTTTTATTTTAAGCACTTTTGGTCTTGCCCCTCAATCAGAGACCTGGTTCTTTAGTTGCCTAGCAGCATGTGAGTGGTGGGAAACCCTCTACAGCACACCATTCCAGGGGAATGGCTGTGCTAAATTGTGGTAGCAAAGGCAAACAGGAGTCTTGGGGCACTGCTGTTTATTCAGACACTAGCTTCCTTGCTAGTCTCTGCGACTTGAAGTTCTGTGGGTACAATCCGCATCGAGGGTTGGACTCTTCTGACTGTGGCACTGAGGCGCTGGAGCTCCCTCTCAAGAGAAATCCACACGGTCCTTTCCTTGGGGGCGTCTGAGCCCCACATACAGGTGGTGCTTTTAAAGAGGGAATTCAGAGCTCCCAGCTGGATGGACTTGCTGATTCTGGTTTGCTTCTTTTGTGTTAGAATGCAGGTTTAACTGATCTGGCCATCGCTCATGCTTGCCAATATCCTTTTCAATTTCAAAGATTTTCATCTGTTTTAAAATTTTAAAACAAACTTGAGGGTGCTGCACTCTCATCACAACAGGGGCTGCATACAATCCCAACACCAAGGAAACTCAGGATGGGTTCAGGCCATACTTGGCCTTTTTCAGTCGTAGTTGTGGTCCTTGGGAATGGACTGTCTAGAGACATGTTCTCTCTGGTGAATCACATGAAAAAACGCAAGGCTATTTAAAAGGGCCTTTGGAAGCTGACCTGCTGCTGGGCTGATTGTTTGAATCTATTGGTGGTGGTGGATTTAATTCTTACGGTTCTCTGGAAACCACAGAGTATTTGTCAGAAAAGCAGTATATCAATATTTTAGATAAACAAATATTGGGGATTCCATTCAATTAAAAAGCAGGATAGAAACACCCCATCCCCACCAATTTTCAGGTACATTTTTAACCTGACCTTTTTTTCCAAGGGTGGTGTACCTACTTCTCCCTTTCCCACTTCAGACTCACCACAACCATGTGATGTAGATGAGGATGTGAGAGAATAACTGGCCCACGATCAATTTTAGCGAGTTCTGTGGCAGAGTGGGGATTCGAACCCAGGTCTCCCAGATGTCAGTCTAACCGCTACACCACACTAACTTTCACAGACCAGTCCAACAGATCTACAGCTCATTTGCAGAACCAGGCCTTAATCCCTGTGGGGAAGATCAGGATCAGTGTAGCCTAGTGCAGCGGTTTTCAAACTGCATTCCCAGGATCCCCCAGAAGCAGCCTTGCTTTGCGTCACGGGGAAAGGCTCAATGAGTTCCACATTTCTACCTTCAGTGACGACAGATCAAAGTCTGTGTGCAAGAGGTTGACAGCTGCCTTGCCACCGCTGATGTTCCGGATCAGTTTCAGTCCCCGGATGCACTCATTTGCTCGCTGATGGAGCTGGAAGAAGAAAAAAAAAGAATATCTAAAATCAATCCACCATTCTTCATTGACCAGCAAGACTGAATCTTATTTTATACCATCTACGTGAAGACACAGACAAGGAATGAAAGGTTAAAAAGCATCCACAAGCGTCCCCCAACTGAGATCAGGGTTGTGCAATGGGGGTGGATGGAATCATTTCCCCTGGACCGTTTCTCCTGACTGTAAGTGCCTCCCATGACAGAGCCAGTTTGGTGTAGTGGTTAAGTGCGCAGACTCTAATCTGGGAGAACCGGGTTTGATTCCCCACTCCTCCACTTGCACCTGGCTGGATGGCCTTGGACAAGCTGTAACTCTGATAAGAGCTGTTCTTGAAAAAGAGCACTTTCTGTCAAGAGCTCTCTGAGCCCCGCCTACCTCACAGGGTGTCTGTTGTGGGGAGGGGAAGGAAAAGGAGTTTGTGAGCCACTCTTAGACATCTTTGGGTAGTGAAGGGCAGGGTATAAATCCAATCTCCTCCTCCTCCTCCTCCTCCTCTTCTTCTATACTCAGGGTTGCCAAATCCAGGTTGGAAAATTCCTGGACATTTGGGGGTAGAGCCTGGGGAGGGGAGGGTTTGAGGAAGGGGACCTCAGTGAGGTATAATGGCATACAGTCAACCCTCCAAAGCAGCCCTTTTCTCCAGAGAAACTAACCTCTGTTGTCTGGAGGTTATCATTCCAGGAGAACTCCAGGCCCAACTGGGAGGTCGGCATTTGGCACTGCTGTTTACCCAATCAGACTGCTGGTCCACATTCCTCTATATGACTTATTCTAACTGGCAGCAGATCTGCAGGGTCTAAAACAGAGAAAGGCCTTTTGCATCACCTGCCATCTGAGGTCCTTTATTTATGTAGGTATTTATACCCTGCTTTTGTTCCCCTGTGGCGATCCAAATTGGCTTACAACATCATTCTCCCCTTTTCCATTTTATCCTAACCACCACCACTGCCGCTGCCACCACCCTGTGAGGTATTTAGGCTGAGAGTTGTGTGACTGGCCCAAGGTCACCCAGTGAGTTTCAACAGCAAAGTGGGAATTAGAATCCAGGTCATCCCAGATCCTAGTCTGACACTTGAAGCATCAGACCACGCTGGCTCCTGTCTTCTTTAATAGGAAATACCTGTCAGGATCCACAGCAAAACAATGAAGTACACGCTTCCAGGAAGGTTTTACTTTTATCGAAAAGCCAGAGATGCAATAACACGAACACTGTTAGGAATGGCGGGCATAATAGGTTATAGGGCATTCGTATGCGCCCCCCCCCCAGCAATACCCAATTAGATGGGCTCCTGCGCATGGGAGACGGGAATAGTCTCTAACGGTAGCAAAGCTGGGAACCAGAACGATCCCACGAAAGGTAGACACCACACTCCTCCAGTACCTCTTTACAGATAAGCGTTGCAGCTGTGAAGCAATTAAGCGCATGGGAAGGAATGCATAACAATTAGACCGGCTCTTCTTACTCATGGCAGCTTAGCTGACAATACCAGGGATTGAACTTAGGACTGTTACTGTGCAAACTGCATACTCTACCACTTAGCTGTAGCCCCCCAAAGGCTCTGTGGGGGGAGCAGTTGGAAGAGGGGAAAGCAAAACTGAGAAGGGAGCGCCATGGGCCTTGACTCCAATCCAACCCAGCAGACCTCCCCCATGGATGTCATTTGCTAAGTTTAAAAGGCTTGGGAAGTTTCCCACCATTTCTTCTCATTCGGCCCAGAAAACAAAACAACACCGGAAACTCAGTGGCAGAGTGTTGGCCTAGGAGGTAGGAGATCCAGGCTCAAATCCCCATGTGGCTGTGCAACCTGCTAGATGACCTTGAGTCTGTCCCTTTCCCTTAGCTTCACCTACCTGACAGGGTTGCTGGGAAGATAAAATGGAGAAAAGAGGAACCACGGGGCAGCTTTCTAAGCTCCTGGAGGAAGGCCGGTTGGAAAAAAAAAAGTGCTATAGAAATGGTGGTGCTTTGATCTGAATTTTATTCTGCCACGCTTTGTTAAGAATAAGTCCGTTAAGATGGCTGTACCTGTGGATTTCGGAAGTAAAACTCTTTCTGATCTTTTGGCACCCCTCGATAGGAAAGCCATTCTTCTTGTACCGGAGCCTCAGGGAAGTCCAACGCTTCAGAATCCATCTTGCAGAAGTAAGTGGCAGAAGCAGAATAATCTCTGAAAGAACAAGTATCAGTTAAGCATTCCCTTCTGGCTGAGACAGGCAAGAACACAAAGACAGAAAGAGATCCGGCTGAAGTCCTCAGCCATCTCCATGCCCCACTTGAAACCAAGGGCGGCTGAAAATTCATAAATCCTCAGTGGGAGAATCGTTCTGTTCAATTTTCCCTGCTGCCTTCTACGCACAGATCTCCGTTCTGGAACTCCTATGTGATGCCCATACCACACTCCCTATTCCTTACCCCAAACCCACCCTGTCTGAAGCTTTTCACTTAAGCCAACAGTTCTCAGACTTCTGGAAACAGGAACCTTTTATAAACCTACTGTACTTTTTTTAAAAAATATTTTTATTTTCATTTTATATAACACTTACATACAACAAATCATAACTAGTAACATTAAACCATGAACTAGGTGGTTGTTACCAAGTAATGTAGAAATAAATAAAGAATAAATAATGTATTCTTTTGAATGTCAAATAGGTTTTACAAACAGGTAAGTATTTCTTTATATTTTGGAGGCATATGGCATAGAGGCAGTAAACTCTCATCATGTATATAGTCCAAAAAAGGAAGCCATTTGGCCAATAGATTCGTGGAAAGTCCTCGTTCTTGCAAGTAACTCCACACTATTTGGTAACTCCACTCAGCAGTCCACAATGAGCAAGTAGTTTATCTTTTCCATTTTTTTCATAAATATAGAGCATAACTGGGCAAGAGGCTCTATTTCAGGGACATTTCACACACTACGCAGAGGCAAACCCAAATTTGCCATCATCTTACTCCTCTTCCATCTGGCCCCATCTGGGAGAAATCTGCCATATTTCTGTTTTCATTTTTTTAAAAGTAGCCTGTGTTTTAATTCATAAACTGGCTTTGGAAACTTGGTTGAGAGTGTGGTATGGGCCTGTATAAGGGCTGTCAACCTCCAGGTGGCCCTGGAGTTCAGTTCTTATCTTACTGTTCTTTCAGCTCAAAGGTCTTGAACAGATCAAAATCCAACCCTTTTGCAGGCAGTCACTGCAGCTAAATATCTGGCAACTGTTGAGGTGGTCTTCTGATCCTCATCTACACGGAAAAACTGGACAATTTTTGAGATGATAAATCCACATAACTTATTAAGAGGGGGGACAAATACCTTTCTCTCAGATCAGACCATATTTCACACTCCAATAAAGGACTCAAGCTGATCACATCCACATTTACAAACTCTGTCTGGATATGCTATGCCTACAAACCGGCCTTCCAGTGTAGCCGAGGGAAAAAAATTTAACTGAGCAAGTGTGAATGCTCTTCTATATTCTCCCAGAATTACAACAGCTCTCCAGACTATAGAGACCAATTCCCCTGGAGATAACTGCAGATAGAGGGCAAACTCTAAGGCATCACATCCCTACCGAGCTCCCTTTTCTGGTACCACCCTAAATATCCAGAAATTTCCAAGTAACCATAGCCTGAATTTAAGAATTAGTAATCAAAAGAAGGGTTGCATAAAAGCTATTTATTTAAGGTAATTTGAGGCCACTTTATAGTCACACTGCAATGATATGCTCTTACATCTCATTCTAGTTAGGCTGGAAAGTTAATTGCAAAGGGCTGTTAGTCTATCATCTCCCTTATATATAAAAGCCGAATGGCGGTGGCACTTCTCTAGAACATTCCACACGCTCCGGAATTGGTTGGTGCCTTGGTGTGTCACTCAGAATCTGTCCCTATCCACTGGCTGCTTTGCCTGAGTCCTGCCTTCAACATTCTAAACAGTTTGCTGTTTCTCTCCCCCCCATAGCCAGTCAGAACACAAAGGTTATTTGCATATGCAGCCTCATTGGTCTTTGCCTCGGAACACAGAGGTCGTTTGCATATGCGACTTGATTGGCTTTTGCCTCTAACATTCTAAACAGTTTGCTGTTCTGAGGTAAAATGTGTCCAATCTCCAGGTGAGGGCTGGAAATCACTCAGAATTACAACTGCTTTCCAGATGGCAGAGATCAGTTCCCCTGGAGAAAATGGTGGGCTCGGTATCCTTATATGCTGCTGAGGTGGCCCCCGTATGACAGCCAATGTGACATAGCAGTCAGGGCTTCAGAGCACGGGAGAGGCTGCAGGTGTGTGGGGGGTGGAAAGCTGAAGAGTGAGGGGGAAATAAAGGTAGGTTGATGATTGGCTGGGAAGGAGATAGGGCTGCCAACTCCAGGTGGGAAATTCCTGGAGATGTGAGGGATGGAGCCTGGAGAGGGTGGGATTTCAGGAGGCGTGGGACCTCGGACAGGTACAAAGCCATAGACTTCACCCTCCAAACCAACCATTCCCTTCTGGGGAACCATCGTTGCCAATCTCCAGGTGAGGGCTGGAGATCACTCAAAATTACAACTGTTCTTTAGGTAGCAGAGATCAGTTCCTCTGGAGAAAATGGTGGACTCAGTGTCCTTATACCCTGATCTCTCTCTCTCTCTCTCTCTCTCTCTCTCTCTCTCTCTCAAACAGATAAATCTCCTTCTAGCTCGAAACCTCCTGAACAACGTAAGTTGCACATGCCTGCTTATTCAGAAAGAATACAGCAGAAAAGTGTTGGACTAATAACACCCTAAATCTTTGAATCTGGAGGCCATTTTTAAACCTATTTTCAGTAGTGGTGTGCTCATATGTTGCGGGGGGAGGGGGGGCCTGTGCATAAGAATGGAAGAACAAGTAATTTTTATGGAATACCGCATTTCTGCAGAAGGCTGGTATGGGTCAATGGCGAGAGGATTGGGGGTGCTCTCATTTGACTTGTTCTTCAGCCATGGGGTTCACTAGGTACAGCCCCGTAGCTAGGGAATTCTTTGGGAGGGGGCCTTGGGGGGGCCCGCCAGCTAATTAAATGGAAGTACAGTGCAGGTGGTAAGTTGGAGCACTTTGGGGGCAGCCCTGGAGGGAGGGGGCCCAGAAGAAACACAAGGGGGCCGGGCCCCGTGGGCCCCATGTTAGCTACGGGCCTGGTTATCTGTATCTGTGAGATGGCTGCCGTCTGTGTGTTTAAAATGTCCCCCCAGAAGGCTGAATTGAGCTGTAGTTCCAGAGAGGGAAGTTTCCTCATCCGCTGGCCTACACTTCCGAGCTACACTAAAAAGTGCGGGAAAAGAGGGACCTTGGGGCGGGGCAGCATCAATATAGACTCCAGCTAGGCCACAAGCTTGGGAGGCAGCAGAAATTCAGCCACTCCACAGTCAGCTGGACTGTGGAATGAATGGAAGTTTCCATACTCTCTTGGGCAAGAGAGAGAGGCTGAAGCAGAGCCAGTCCAAGGAGAGATCCTGTCCTCAGCCCACAAACTCCAGAGCTAGAGTGTTGTGTGTAGG